GCTTGTGCCCAAACCTCTGTACAAAGCCACAGGTGCCAACCGCGTGGATCCCATTCTGCTATCGGAGGCCCCCGGATCTAAACAGTTCAGCAACCACAGTAGCAGCAATGATAAGGATGGTAATTTTAATTGATTATGACCGTTCCGACACCGCTAACGCTGTAGCTGACCGGCCGCAGTGTTGGTATCGCCCGCTTCTCAGTGCGGGCTCCTGAGCCACCGGAATTCGATTAAAAACCATAACCTTTTGCTGGTTGATGCTCGCAGATATTAAGCACCATAAGACAACAGCTACAGTACTAACTGTTGGACTGAGGGACTTTGTGCTATTAAAAATAAAAGTTGGTATCTTGAATGGAGAGAAAGGGACAGAGTCACGAACACGACGTGTAAGCCAACTCAAAAATTACGTCATCCTGAGTGGGGACGACCTAAGCGACCCCCAGCATGGAGAGGACACGATTCTTGGACAGGTTCCTACGTGCTGACCCTGCACAACAGCACAGCAGGCGGCAAAGCAACACACACACGTTGTCTGAAAACTAAACCTGAGAGGTTCCACTTTAGGGTCACTGTCCGTACTGGCGTCCTTATCAATTTTCTCAAATTCTGGGGATTTTACAAAATATGCTGAAGTCGGCTAAGAGCAAGCAGATTCCCCCAAATGATATGTTGATCTGTGAACACATTAGACCCTCAGGAGCTATTAAGTAGCAACTGACTCTTACGGGGCTCAAACATGTACAAGATGACTACAAAATCCTAGCAATGGTAAAGACTCAGGGGAAACCAACAGTTATAATATAGACCTTTAGAAAGCAGTTGACCCTTCCTTAGGCAGCTGAGGTCCGGATCATGTGATATTTGGAGATGTTGCAGCTCTCTCTCCACTGCATGACATGACAAAGTGCAGCATCCCTTATCATGCTACTTCTGCTTCAAATAAAACCACGTGAGACCAGGACGGCTGATAAGTCACAATTCCTGTCTGGCTTTGGGGTCGAGGTCCAGTCCATAACAAGGTGGGAGAACGAAATAGAGCGTGGTTTCTTTTTTTCTTTTCTCTTTTATTTTTTTTCTAAAAAAAATTCTGTTATTCAAACATTTAACTGATGAGAACGCACAAGAGGTCATGCAAAAGGAGAAGGCAGGTCTGAAATGCTGAAAAACAAACCAACAAAAGAAAACTGCAAAGACATTAACAACAACGAGCCACAAAATAACGTGACCCTCAGGAAGGTGGGCGCAGGCAAGGCAACAGGGCGAGCATGCAGACTGAAACGAGAGCAAAACGGAGGTCTTTGTGACGAGCAAAATGGGGCTTCAAACCAAAATGCCAGTGTCTGCGTTTGTGTGTGTCTGTGTGTGTGTGTGTGAGGAAGAGGAGGGGGGGAATAAAGAGGAGGGGGGGAATAAAGAGGAGGGGGGGAATAAAGAGGAGGGGGGGAATAAAGAGGAGGGGGGGAATAAAGAGGAGGGGGGGAATAAAGAGGAGGGGGCAGAGAGAACAAGCAGGAAAACAAGCGTACATACGTGAGCCTGAAGGCTTTCGGGAAACAGCAAGGTCATAGGGATTTAATACTCGGAATGGGCATCAGCCTAGATTTAGAAAAAAATAAAGGCTGACAAGTATTAGTGACCTTTTGGGGAAAGCAGAATATTGAATAATGCGTATGGATCGAATCGACTATCCGCAAATTCAGAGCCCAGTCCAGCTGCTGTAACACTGTTCCCAGGGGAGGCTCTCCCCCTGTGTGCACCTCCCGACCGAGCTGTTTGATGAGACTACCTGCAGGATTAGCACGAAAGGCACCGTGTGAAATGCTGATGGACCAGTGCATACATTCAGATGGACTGAGGGACAAGGGAGGACAGAAGACAGACCGGTACATGCTCGGGACTCTCCGGTTACCCTTGGCATCAAAGGGCAGCCAGCAGTTCTTTGACCGGCGTTGGAAGGAATTGGGTGAGGGGAAAGCGTTGGTTATGTTTTACGGGGGCGCCGTGCCAAGCCGGCAGAGGAGTGGGAAAGGCTGACAGGTGAATCTGAGCCACAAGTAGCATGCCATGAAAAAGAGCAAGCGTCTGAATGGTACAGGGATGGAATTTAGGTCTGAATTTTTCAAGTGGGAACTCCAGACAAGGCTGGCAGTCTGGCTTTCCATGGGTGTGTTTTAACTGCCTGCAGGGTAAACAGACCATTTTGTTTCTCCTTCTGTGACAAGCTCGCCCCGAGGTTCTTGCACCAGCACAAACACCTTTAGGAATCTAAAACATAAGAAAGACAAAAAGAAAGAGACTGGATTAGAAAGAGGCTGGGGAAAACAGGATCCCTTAAGAGCAGCGCTGCCTGCAGGAGGTTAAAGGAGATACAGCATCCAAGCATCTACCAGGTTACAAGGGGTTAGGGAAGGCTCCCGAACTTCGCCAGCACTCAAACAGTAACCGTTCCCCCTCAGCCCTCCCCTCCAGCCCGGGGATGAGCATCACTGGGACACTGCTCTCCTCTGGGAGTGGGATGTAAAACGCGGGAGCAGGACCCTGCCAGCACTTTTAGTGCAACAAAGAAAACAAACGGCTTTTTCATTTTCAGTGCGCAAAGGAGTATTGTATCTGTTTGAGTGACAGCTCCAGAGACCATGACTGATACTGAAGAATAACAACAGGAAGCTAAAACACAAAGAATTTTGCAAACGACTCCAGACTAGATATCCTTTCCACAATAGGCTGCAAAGACCTTTCGTTCTTAAGGGAAGTCCAGAAATAAACAGGTACACGAACGCAGTCTTAGTCTCTAAACCCATCCATCCTTTGTCGCGTGCCTGTACCCACACGCATCGGGCTGAGAGTAAGTTTCCTCTGTGCCCAAGTGAAGCTACAATCCAGACGTGTGATTTGGCCAAAGAGACCGCTCTTTCCAAGGGATTACAGGATGAGCCCAAACTTCCCTCACATCCGAGAGAGCAGGGGTCACCTTCCAATCTCCTTTGCACCCACTTCCACAAAAGAAAAAACTCCAAATGACAGCACAAAAAAAGTTCTCAGAGCCACAGCAAAATACGTTTCCTGAAAAGGAATTGCATTTATATTTGGTGTGGGAAGCAGGTGAAAAGCAGCTGTGAGCCTTTTGCTTTCCATCAGTGAAGTTAAACTTGAATGAATTGCCATTAAAAAAAAAAAAAAAAAATCTCACAGGAATGAGAAAAATATAACGTTTATTAGAAGACAACACCATGGTACATCAAGCTATAAAGAGATTCCTGACAGATGACAATTATTTTAAAAATAACAGAAACGGAACCACCACACCGGCCAGATTTCACAAACCTTAACACAAAACAAACGTTTCTATGCAAGTGCAACCAGATGCAGACAGCTGAGTAACCAAAACCACTTATCAACATAAGAGGGACTGAGTAGTTATCAAAACAACAGCTAGGTTAAGCAGAATAACAGCCTATAAAACCATTTATATTTATACATATATAAAAGGATAAAAACAATTCAAATTCAAGTAACTTTAGTTTTTAAGTTATGTTATATACAATTTTTTTTTTATACCGGGAGAACTAAGGGCAAGTATTTACCAAAAGGATTTAAAAAAGCCACAGTCCAGTTTATAATCACTGTTTCCTAAATAATTTGGCAAGCATTAAATAATCAGATATATCCTAGATAAAAAGTGCATCAGCATGGTTAACTTTTACCTATTTATTTATATAAGTCAAGGCTCTGCATAATAGTTACAGCCAACAAACAGCAGAGCTGCAGCACTGGGAATCAGAGAGCTGTCTGTAAGGATTTATGGATATAATCGGAGGTGAGGAGGAACAGCCCCGCAGTGGCAAAGGAGCTGAAATGCTAATCAGCCCGCGGCTCCAAAATTTTTTTTTTTATCAGGAAATTTAACTTCACAAAACAGCCTCTCTTACTGCATGGCACCCAAAGAGCCACTCTTTCTGGCGGAAGCAAACATGGCATTTTTGTTGGGTGCAGTGGAGAGTTTATACAAAGCTGGTTATTTCATGCAAATTCTTTTGTGTATCACGCTATTTCACAACACAATTATGTTCCCAAGAAGATTTGGAGGTACCATATCCAGTAACAGTGCGGTCAGCCTTCAGCAAAGAGACCCTAATTCCTGCATTTGACAGTTGTCAGCACCAGGTACCCGACGGGGACGGAAAAGCCCTGCACGACGCTACACCCATGTGTGCGCAGAGGCGTTTTCTTCCTCATCCCTGCAGTTAGGGGGTTGCGTAAGCCCCAAATCATGAGTTTACATCCAACAGATCCAATTCTTACTCTGCATGTTTGTTTAGCATTTCTAACAGTTTCCTGCATGCACCTCAAAGAGACTGAACTTTGTTGGCTCTCATTTGTATTAGGAAGGACAATAACGCTGTTTACAACTAGAGTCACACAGTCGGGCCAGTACCGTCATTGGCAGTGATGCACATTTAAATTTCAGGAGGTGAACTTACACACGCACCAGCTGAGCGAAGGGTACCTAACAGAGTCTTTCATTGCTGGAGATATGACATGTGCATTCATCTCTTCTAAAGAAAACCTTCTGAAATAGAGCTCTTAAAACAACCGTAGCAGCAAACCAGCAGAATAAAAGGTGAATAGGCCTATGCAAACCTACTCAGAGATTTTCTGAAGTGATTTGTACACATCTGGAAAAAAAAAAAAAAAAAAAGGCAAAACAAGATAGACATTACTGTTCTTTGTTTTTTGCGATAGGGTTTGCTAACACCCTCTGACCGGAGGTACCATTGTCAACTTCACAAACAGCCCTCACACTGGTATTTACAGGAGCGCACTTGGCTCCCATGAAGACTACAATCAGGAGGGCGACCGCAACACACGACTTACCTGTCCTATTCATCTCAGGTTCGGCAGTAGAGCCCTGACAACACAGGCTTCAGCTGCCTGAAAAAGCTCACCAGCTGCCAAGCGGCTTTTGACAAAGCATTTAGGGGTTGCATTCCTCGGGCAGAGCTGCCTCCGGCTCAGGGCACCGGCACAGCCGGGTCAGGCAGGTACGCCGCAGCCAGCGCCGATTCTGCTGGCTGGAGAGTCCCAGATGTACTCAGAGCTGGTGTGAACGCTCCCGCCCTTCCCGCAACTAACCTTTAGAGGTACCAGCTGCTCAAGCTTCTTTCCAAAACCAGGAAAGAACTACTAAATTTGTAAATGCTTTAGTATTTACAGTGTCATCGTCAGGAATGTCGTAGCTTCTGTTTCAAGGATTGAATAAACTCATTTCTACTAATACATTAAAAATCAATTGAGAAATTTGCAGCTTGCAACAAAGTTTGTCTTTTAAACACAATAGCACTTCCCCCAAATCTTTACACTGCTATTGTGACATTTTATGGAAAGTTCTCTTTTAGCTTTTCTTTTTAACCAGAGAACTGAGAATTTAAAGAGGTAAATATTATAGTTTCTTTACATTAGATATTCACAGATACATTTGATTTTGTTCCTGAAGTCCAGCAAAATTAATGGAAAAAATTAAAAGGATCTGAAAACCCTCCATCATTGCTATAGAAGTGGCTGCAACTGTACCAGCCTTCACTCCCGGCACAGACTGCATTTTTACGATCATTCAGCATCACCCTAAAACTTACATAATACCATTAACATACTAATACGATATTCTGACTGGTATTGCAATGCTCCTGCAATAGTCTCTCCAAAAGGGTAAATTAAATACAAACTTTTGCTGTTTGAGTTAGCAGGACTGCGTCAGGGTGTCTCGCCCCACCCAGAGGTATGTTTTGCTTCACTTCCCACCCAACCTGCTGCTCTGTGCCTACAGAGGTGATTCGCTGCAACGTTCCGCTGATGTGAACCACGCTGCAGATCCGAGGGCAGAAGAGCCACGCTTGTTACTTAAGACAGATTTAGATGCCACACTAGCTTAGCTGTTTCAAGCAGGCTACGCTGCTGAACAACAGATTTTCCAGCAGAGTAATAATGTTGCTTTCAACTCTGGCCACAGACAAAGTAGGCAAGTCTCCATAGGAGAGAACACAGGGGTAAGAGATGGCATCTCCCGTTCTGTGCTTTCTGCCTTGTTCCGAGTATGACATAAGGACAATGTACAATCCACGTTCCTCTTTCAAAGGTCAATAAAAGCCAACAGAAAGGCTGAGCTTTCTGCACTCTTTTGCATCTCAACTGACCCTGTATTTGCCAACACAAACATCAAACTACTGCATTATGGCAAAATAAAACAAGACCCCAGACTTTCATGTGCAGCAGACAAGGCACGGCACTGTTTAATACTGAATCCAAGACAGTGAACTGATCAAGTTATAGTGTTCGTTTACAGAGACAGTCCTACTCCTCTCTTCCTGCTGTCCATGAATCCCAATGAGAGTGGTTCAGTTCTCCTCTATATTGGATGAGGCAGTTTGTGTCACACCAAGAACTCTAAGTCCGGGAAACACAACAATAATCTGAAGGATTAAGTGACTGAAAAAACCACAAATCATTTAACAGTGGACTTCAAACACATCCTGATTTGATTTCTCTGTGTATTACATTACCAGGTGTTCATGGTGCTAGCATGCATCCCAGCCAGGACTCCCCTGTAGCACTGCTTGTTTACACAACACACCTATTGGTGAGGTGTTAAAAGCAACAAGGAAACAGAAGATTGCCGAGTCTAAGCTCTGAATGTCTCCGTTGATTGTGTGTGAGCAAAAGATTAAACCATTAGCTATGGTCATCTGAAAAAGCAAATGCATCCATAAGACCATCTTCTGAAAGGTGGGAAAGAATAGAGGATCTTTCTTAATGCTTTACTGATTCATCAAGGACCAGAGTGCTGTGTAGATGAGTTCTGGCAAGATCTTTCCTTCCCCTTGCAAACACACTAACTAAATAGCGACCAGGTTTCAATCCGAAAGCTCCACAGAACACATTAGGCTCTGAAAAGGTACCACACTGAGACACAAAACAACACTCTAAATATTTCCTATATAACATTCCACTGAATCAGTCTGGGACAAAGAGCTGACTTGTGAACGTGTCCGAGATGCCACCTGGATATCTGAGGAGGGCCCATGTTATCCCAAATGGCGCTGTGTTTCCTGCACTAAGTTGGGCGTGCAACGGCAGCGACAGTTGAACAAGCGCTGTCTAGGAAAGGCTGCGTTTCCCCTCTAGTTTTACAGTCTACCACACTATCCTCTGATCAATAAAAAGCACGTTTTGCAGTACAGCAAGCCATATTAGTCCATGTACGAAATAATGCACTTTGTGGCATTGTACAGACTTTTAAAAGGCTCCATCTGCAACACAGAGTAGTTGCAGTGTTGGATATCTCTGTGAAAGCAAATAAAGTAATAATAATAGTATTAAATATAAGTCATAGCACCTTTGGCATTTTTGTCCAAATAGACTTCAACATACGACGTAGGGACATAGCCCTCCTCGTCTTCATTCCTTCGGATTCGTGTCCACCCATCACCTTTGTCTTCTTCTATTACATAGAGCATTTCTCCTTCTGCTACAGAAATTGTTCCTTCATTCTGACCTGGAAGACACAGTAGGACGGAGTTTAGGCTGGCCTGCACAATGGGAACCACAGACACAGTGGAAGGTGCTCAGGGCAGACCCGGACAAGGTGCTGACATAACCTTCATTGCATCACTGGCAGCATGAACAAGAACACATGATTCTGGAAATAACTGTGTAAACGAAGAGCCAGATGAATGTGATCCTGACACCAGAGTTTTGGGGTTTTTTTCTTGCAGAGTCCATGCATAATGGGAGAGAAATCACTGTCATAGTGCTTCTCTACAAAACAGAATCATGCCAGAGCCTCACTCGCCCTTTTTTGTCTATTTAAGCACTGCAGGGGTTAAATGAAGCTTTCCCACTTGTCCTTGGCATATGAACTAAAGAAAACAGTAAGTGAAATGAGAGTAAACGTTGAGTGATACCTTCAAATGTATAGAGCGCTTTACATGTTCCTATAGTGGGTAGTGGTTCTTCATCATCAAATTCATCGTCAAAATCTGTTGCAGGTACTTTCATTTCAGTCTCCTGACTTTGCTCTTCTGTGTAACTGCCATCTGGGCTGCTCAAGAGAGGAAAATACACAGCAACTATAGCGACCGGTCTTTACTAGGCACTTAAGACATTACTAGACACTTAAGGGAAGGTGAGCTGGAGCAGCTCAGCAATTCCAAAGCATGCTCACAAACAGCTGTTACCACTAGGAGCTGTCACAACGTGCTGGGTGATACCAACCATTTTTTCCCCATCAGAAGACGTAAAACGCACCTCTCCCACTCACCTTCACAGCAGAGTACAAGGGCTACAGGGGCTATTACCCATTTCATCACATTCAGAAAAGTAGCTCTTAAAGTTGGGATCTTGCATATGCTAAGATCAGCATGCAAAACACTTCATGGAGCGCCTGCCTCTGTCTGGTTAGAGAATAATTTTGTGAATGCTACAGCTCTCCTGATTAACTAGCTAAGAAGGGGGGCCAATTACCAGTCTGAACAGGACAACTCTGTACAGATACTGTACCTCTCGCGGTCCTGTGCACAGCTGTTCACTGCTGAAGTGTTCTGGGCTTCATACAGTCCGCTCTGCCGCCGCGCCTGTTCAGTCCGCACGGGTAACCTGCCCTCCACCTCAGCCAGCCAGCCCTGCAAGGCAAGGGCAGTATCACGCATCTCCCCCGCTTCAGCTTGCACGGGGATATATGTTGCTTTTACTTTGACTGTGTCATATTTGACATTCAGACTATAGAACTCAAACCAGTTTGTAAACATACTTAATTTCTCTTTTGGGTTGCAGCTGTCAGAGGAAACAGATTCTCTACTTGAAGTGTATATTGTGAATTAAGTGTATATTAAATCTATTGGTCTTGCCAAAACACACACACTTACTGATAACTCGATTCTTTTAAAAATGACACTGGGTGCTGAAAATATGATGACCCAAGAGCAGCAGTTAGCAACAGCAGCTGGGAGATGCTGCTGCTCTAGTCACAATCAAGTAAGAAGACATGTGGCAGCTTACAGTAGCCTCAGTGACACCAGAAACACAGCAACCTCAGGGACTGCTGAACACAAGAGGCCTAAAGCTGGGGAGGATGAAAGACCCGGTGATTTTCAAACGGGTGAGAAAGCAACGGATAGCAAAGCCAATGACTGTAAGAAAATTAACAGGCTGTATCTATTTGTGTACATAGCGTAACTCAGAGTGAAGTCTTTTCTCAGCCCTGTAATCCTTCTCATGCAATTATAATGGCTTCATATATTCCAAATACTCCTTATACTCTTGAGATTTTGCATCTCTAAGAAGCTTCCTGTTAGTGGCAGGCTATTCCTTAGAACATATTTTATCTGACAGCTTCTGTCTTGCTGTTAGACTATAAATGGTACTTTACATATCTGTTCCTTTGATTTTTCACAGACATTTGTAGCATGATACTTCAGATTATTTAATTAATTGAATAAGCATCTGAACCCCTCTGGGCAGTCCAGAGAGCACTACGTTTTCTCTTATCTACCACTTAGCACAATTTGTTTTCTGTGGTAAATTGAACAGCAGGATTGTTGGCTGACAGTCACGTAGCACTTACCCGTACATAGTAAGAAAATGTATCGATACATCTGGAAAAGCCATGAAGCGCCTGCTTAGAACTGAGCGTATGCTGAGATACGTTTTACTGAAATGCCTCTTCCCTTACCTCAAATTTCTGAACTTCTAATCGTAACTTTTCAATGTTCTGACCAAGTTCTGCTAATCTGTGGTCCACACTCGCTGCATCTCCCATCTGTGGGTTCTTGATATACACATCTTTCATTTTCGTTAAGGCATCTCTGAGAGACAGAAGAAAAATAAAACATGTAAATGTTAGTGCAGCTGGGGGCAAATCCCTTTCTCTAGATGAGGGCAAATGAAAGGATAATAAACTGCCTCTTCCTTACGCTGTGGTTTGAGCCTAATTGGTTACAGAGGTAACTGAGAACATCTAGACAGGCCCTTTGCTGGGTACAGAGCCAGCCATCAAAAAAATAACAGTAAAATCCCTTGCCAGAAGAGAGCTTACAGTGTCGGAAATGGAAAAAAGCGAGTGATGCCTATACCTACAACGTGACACAAGAGACATTGTGCACAAGGCAAACTCTTCAAGCCCTGACATTAAAAGGAGCTCCTGGCTGTACAGGCAGCTGAGGGTCCCTCAAGCGAGCGAGGCGGGCAGGAGGAGCCTCGCTGGTGGATCCTGAGGCTACAAAGGAGATGTGCTGTGTCAGTACAAGCATAGGACACGTTTAGACCAAATGATTCAAGCTCCATGTGCTCTGCTTGAAGAATCTTAGCGGAAAAACAACTGAATTCTTGGACAGCGGCCTTTTGCAAGGCAAAAGGAGGAATTTGGTATTGGCTTTTAGCCTGGCACATTCTTTTATTTCGTATTCCGATTTCTACTTGCTAACTCTAGGGGCAGGGGGAAAAAAAAAAAAAAATCTCACAACCATTGCAACGAATGACAACTTCAACTTTCTAGATGAGTATCATCTCAGTTTTTGGGGCACAGAGAAAGAGTTGCATCATTATTCTCCATCATGGGCTGAAATCCAGTTGAGAAATTAGGACAAAGAGCTGGATGTGGACATACTAATAATAAAAATGGAGTGCTAACCAGAAATTCTCACCCTGCCTGTTGCAGTTTGTCTTTTGCAACCCAAATTATTTGTAAGATACTTATTTCACGCTGCTTAAAACGAAGCTAAATCCAGACAGCTTGCATTTGTCCCAACGCAGTGACAGATGGACCTTAGGCCACATAATGCGACCCTGCATCCTGTTAAGTTACACATCATTTTTACTAGACTCTTTCTGGGGGCTTTGTTTCATATAAATCCAGATGCCAAATGCCTAGGCTTTCACAGATGTTAATTTTAAGGCCTGCTATGATGAATGTGGTACCGTAAAGCCAAGATTAATGTAGTACATTCCTTCATGAGCTCCCCTAGGAAAGCCCGCGGAGCTCTCCCTGACGGCAGTGTGCTGCCTTTGACCTGAGTCAAGTTGAGGCTGAACTTCCAGAAAAAAAGTTATCTGCATGATGATGAACATTTCAGAGCTTAGTAGGGTGGACTTACGAGCAGATTTCCTGTATCACTGGCACAGCTATGCAGCTTTTCTCTAGGCATTAGCTGGGGGGAAGAAAGGTTAATGCGAGTCCCACAAGGCAAGTTAACACTCTTTATATTTTCGAGTTTCCCACCAAACTCTTGACAATTGCAATCCTGTGCCTGCCTTTGCTTTGTGTGTACAGAAAATGGGAAAAAGCGTGGGTGGCAAGGAAGTGGGACTGCTCTGTGGTTGAAGCCCTAAGGGACAATATTGCAAACATATGAGTCATGATTATTACTACTTTTTAACTCTTATTTAACTTCTGGTGCTACTTCCTTAATCATATACTATCTTCATTTAAAATAACTTCATTCTGCTCTGATTTCATAACCGATTTTAACGTTGGGTTACCTCAGAATCAATACAGAGCAGAGAGGAAAATCCGTACAGAGACTAATGTAAGTTACCACAGAGAAAAAAAACACCAAAGCTATGAGAAGTCATATAACCACGTGCAGTTTTCCCTTCTTATTCATGATACAAAATACAAGGAAGAAAGTTTGGCTGACCAGACCAAATAAATAGGTTCTTCAAAGCAAAGCAGCAGAAAAAGAAGGCACAGCTGTACAAACGCAAAGCTGTATTTGGGCACAGACTAGTACCAGAGAGGGTAAGTCTTGAAATCATTCGGGGAAGGAAAGTTACATCTCTTGCAAACGCAACGTGCTGAATCTCTAATGCAACTGTAGAATGTGAACAAACACAAAGCAACAAATAAAGGCTGCCAGAATCTAAAAAAACGTGTAACTACAGTAGCCTTATTCTCAACCAGAATCATAAATGCAGCCTTGTAGAAAAAGCATCCACAAAAGCACAGGATTCGTTATCTTTCTGTTTCCAGGAAATGTAAGCTACAGATCAGAGAGTCTTAAGATACATGCCAATCAATCAGCACTTTTGACGATGTTATCATGCTCATAATAGCCTCTCTTGTTGGGATCTACCCATGCCCATCACACAGCAGTAGGTGCTGTGCTTAGCGCTGAGAGGTCTCTGATGGTACCTCTGACTGATGCTGTATTTACATCCTGATCTCTCCTCAGAAACACCCTCAGCAACAGATCACACCAAGAAACAAATTTAGCTTATCTAACAGTGATCTTTGTCTGGCTCATGATAAACTGCTACTCTGCAGTGAAAGCCCAAGAAAGCAGCTCCAGAAAGAAGGGAAAACTGTCTCCCCAGTTGCTTCACTTGTATCGTTCCCATCCTTACACTAGGATCTCCTCATCTCACGATTCCAAAGATGGGATATGCATTACACTGAGGTGGGAGAGTGGAACAAAGAGAAAGCCAGCTTTTGCCCCAGCTCTGAACTACATCAGCTAAAATCAAATAACTTATCAGAATCTGAGTTGTGGAGAGCCTTGCACCTCTCAGGTATTTTTAGCCATATGTAACTTTTGCTTCCTCTTTCCTTGGAACAGCACCTTAAACAAACCTAGAACCTTGTTCTTATTTGGTCTTTCTTATATGTGAGTTGTTTCTGTTCTCCTATATAACATTACCTATTTCATTGGTCATTGGAAGGGGCTGACGTACCTTTGATCCATCTCCTTCTGAATGTCTTTGTTTAGTTCATCAACTTTTTGCTGAAGTTTCTTTCTTCTTTGCTCAGGTGGGAGATTGCTGAAGTCTTCTGGGCCTGCTCCCTGCGCAGCGTGGGATGAAGGAGGGGAGGAAAAAAAAAAAAAAAGAGAGAAATAAAACTCAGAGTCTGGAAGAATCCTTCATGATTGCATTTTGAAAACAGCTCACAAAAATCTGTGCAAAATCACAATGGTCTGAAGCATTGTTACCATTTGTACTGACAGTTATCAGTCCCTGAACGGTCAGAAATCTGCCTTAGAAACAATTCCAGGACCAAATCCCAGTTCCATACCAAATGGCTAATGGGAGATCAACAACTAAAGAATGCCAGAATTCTACAACAAAACTGAAAAATTATTTCTTATCCATAGTTACCATCAGATTTTATTTAACAGAGTTCCATTCTCATGGAAAGCTGATCTTTCCTGCCTTCCTCTACTCTGCTACAGACAACATCCCCATAAAATCAGCGCTAGCTCTTACTCCTGTGTCGTCACAGTTGCACTTCTCATGCACACCACTAATTGCTGGCTTGCTCTGCATAGTCTGAGTGTTGGTCCAATACAGTTCATTTATGTCAGGGCTCTCCTGAACATACTGAGGCAACAGAAGTGCTTCCTCTGTGATTCTGCAATTTAAAGACATGCTGCATGCTTTTCAGGATCCCCATTCCATGTCAAAGTCTCTCAATTTTTCCTCTCTCACTTGTACTAGCATAAAAATCAGGAGTTACATCAAAGCCATAGAATCAATCAATTTGAAATCATAACCGAAGAAAACATTTGACCACAGTGGTTACCTTTGTGTGGTTCTGCTTGAAAGCCCCTTTTCTGCCTTCAAAGTGCTATGCCTCTTCTCGATTGCCTCAATTTGATACAGCAGATAGATGACACATAAAATGCATCCATACTATTCTCTTCAAAGTACCACCTATTTTTGCCTTGCAAGAAGGCAAGGGGGACAGTTTGGGTGGGCTATACTGAACACAGCTCAATGCTAAGTAGTTGCACCATAAAGGAATGAGGTTCTTGTACATAATCTTGAATTTGTACAGGTTTTTCTTGGTTTGGTTTCCGCTCATTCCACCTCCCATTTCTAAGGAGGAATACTGGCCTATGAGAGAAAGGAGGGTAAAAACAGAGAGCTGGGTAATGAAATTCAATGGCCCAAAAGCTTACTGAAAGCTCGCGAGCAGAGTTTCAACGTTAGTCTTACTAAAATGCCAAATCTCTCTCTCAGAGGAGCATGATTTAGTGGAAACTCTGCCCCAAAAGCTGCCCATTAGACCCTTTCAACTCTGCACTGAATGTGAGACAAGACGGTGCATTCTTTCTTCTGCATTTGCAGAACAAGCTGTTTAGGAAGAAAGCGTGTGGGTGTCGGAGGGATGGAGGACAACTACGGACAGGTCATCTCTGCTCTAGCCATTTCATACCAACTGAACAGGCAAACCTAATGAAACTGATTTTCAGTAAAACACAGCACATGCGTCTAGTTAAGCCTTGATCATCTGTGTAGTAAACTTAAAAATCCATTTCATGAGACAATGAGAAAGCAAATTTAAGACAAATGAAGGAAACAACTAAGTAAGTTACACTCGTTCTGAAACTTTAACCACGTGAAGTCCTAGCAGTGCTTACATTACTTGTTGTACATGGTACAGGAGAGATCTATTTTAATTCAGTCTTTAATGATAATATTTTGTTTGATAGTAACTCCCACATCACATTAGACATGAGAGTGATTCAATGTATTTTACAGATAATCTACACAATGAAGCCATATGTATCTTTTTAAGGCAAAGCATCTGGATGTAGCTTTGTAAATAAACAAGCAATTACAAGAAAGACCACATAACATATTCTTCTCACTTCTAAGCAGAAGAAACAGAGATGCTTGAAAATATCCCCAGTTATACATTAAGAGAATGCAATAGATGTAGTCAGATGAATTTGGAAAAGTGTCTTCTTTTTGATTCTTCAACTTCATTCAAAACCTTTAGGGCTGGACTAAATTCAGTATCTATTCACAATGCTTCAGACCAAAGCATTAGCATTGCATAGAAACGCGTGCCTGAGACTAGGAGGTGATCTCACTCAGACTTTATTCCATGGGCAATAATTTCCCATCATAACAGCAGCTACAGCTCCTCCTCCAAAAGGCAGAGTCAAGGAGCAAGTTTTGCACATGCTGGGCACGGTTCATGCTGTCAAGCAAAACCACACCTGGGCTATCTCTCAAGTAGTGAAGGTTGCCTACGTTTTCCAGAAATCCTTCCACTGTGACATGAGGGGGGAAATCTGTGCTATTTTTGATGTATTATCACAGGACCAGCAGAGCCGGTGCTCACTGGATTTCCTTGCATTGAGATACTGGGATTTAGGACGCAAATTGTCGCAAGATGAAAGACTGTGAATAAAGAGGCCGTGTTAGGACCAGTTTGTGGGCTGAGGCTGTGTGAGGGGAGAGTGTGAGGTTGATCAGCCCCAGTTTTGGCTCTTGTACAGTTAAGATCGGGGAGGACATGACAAACAAGCCGACTTCCTCTGCCTGAGGCGCACATGGGTCTCAGCCCTCTCTGCACATCTTTCCCATTCGAGCAATTCTTGGGGAACAGCAGGGACAGCCATTTATTTTGGGAGGATTTATTCCTACGTACAAAGGCTTCGCTCAGCTATGCAACACGCTAGCACTGCGACCAGGAAAACAACAAATGGAAATCCCTGGTATAAACGTGTTGGACTAGTAGGGCAGTGCCTTGGCAAAAAGAACAAGGTTTGCAAGTAAGCTAGAGACTTCATCGTTCCTCAGGGCTCCCACAGGTCTTCAGTGAGAAGCAGGATTGCCAGTGGAGCCCAAGCAAGTCGCTGTGTCGACAGAGCAGCAGCAGGAGCTGAAACCTCTAGAGCTACAGCAGGTGGCTTTCATGGCCTACGTGTTTCCTCCAAATAAGCTGCTATGAACAAAACAAGTTCACAATGATGTATCCAAGAACAATCTACGCGTAGGGGAAAGGGAGCACCTAAAGGCACTGACTGGTGAGGAGTAAGAAAACTTTCAAGCTAATGTAGTTAAGGTGCTACTGCAGATCCTCTGAAGCTCCCCAAAACGGCCATCAATCATTTGCGGCTCTTGCACGCTGGCATGAAGTGGGTCAGCAAACCAGTCACGTTCTCCTTGTGACTGCCCTCACGAAGGACAAAGGAACGGAGACAAGCTGTCAGGAACACAGCAAAGTGGGGAGTATCTCAAGCAGTAGGGTACCTTGCGTATGAAGTTCAGCACATAATTTGCTTTCCCAAATACGTTCACCCCTTCCCTTTCCAACCAGGCAACATATCATCTTACCGTAGTTCAAGAAACCTTCCCAGTTGCATCCCAGATAGAATTTAGGATTCATATATATGTGTATCCCTCCATTTGCAAATTCAAATCAGACTGAGTTAACCTTGTTGGTTAAGATTTACAGAATTTTAATTAATATCATTATTAGTTATTCTGAAGGACTACATAGGGCTGTAAAATGTAGGTGATAATGATGCAGATTTCCAGTAATACCTGGACATGGAAAGCAAACTTTGCAGCTATGTTACACAAAAAGACATGCATTTCTCTCTGGAAAAGGTCCAGCAAGCACAGAGACCTTCGGGGTTTTGTGGTTTGGTTGTTTGGTTCCTTGTTTTCTTTTTTTTTTTTCTTTAAAATGTTTTAATACATAAAGTAGCAGAAGTACTAGATACTGTTTTTCTACATTTTCATAGCCCTAGATTATAAGAGTGAAAACTAAACTATATATTAGAGTTAATTTTTTAGCCGCTTATTAGAAAGACTGAATTCTGATCACCTCTATTAGACTCCAGACCTGTGTATTCAGAGTTATCTGATAAATATCAAAAAAAGCAAACACAAAGAAGAAACAAATTTAACAGTTAATTTCAGTGTCATGTCACATGTGGCACAGTGCACATTAAAACACACACAGAAAATTGTGATTAAAACACAGGACAGGCATGCTGTAAATGTGCTTACCAGCTTGAGAGAAAGCTTCATGTAAAAATTGGAGAGATACGGGTGGGGGGAGAAAGAGAAAAAACAACAGTGCATCAGTAGAAGAGGAACTTTTTCAGACTGTTGTTACAATAAAACGACACATAATCCCCTTTGCTGTCAGAAGGCAAAATGGGTAACACTAACAGATCTGTGCAAAAGTTCACAAGATGAGCCAGGGTTATCAGTCAGCTGCCGTCTCCTCGCCAGTAACAAATGGAAGTGTCTTGTACCTCTGCACATGTGCTTTCGCACTGCAGGTGAGGATTTGGCCTGGATTGCCTTATTTACAGCGTCTACAACAGTGATTTTTCTCATTACAGTAACATCTCTGAACTGGAAAAAAACCTCAGAACTTGCAAACGTATGCAAGTCACTTTAGATCAAAAATGTGCTGAAACGCAGTCATGAGCACCAGCCCCTTTATGCAGGGACTTAAGAGAAGGTAACACCTAGCCGAAACTTGCTGAAGAGGCAAGGCACTGCACTTGGCCTCCAGCTGCAAAACGCGTGACGGGATCTCCAGCGATTTCCCAGCTCTCCAGCCTTTATCCAAAGGACAACATCCCTGAAATACCCCCGGCGATTGCGTACAATGCTGTCCGGGCAGTCACCTAAAGTCATTTCATGTTCTTGAACAATTCAAAAACAAATACTCAAGTCTCAAACCTACTTTGGCCATACAGTCAGACAAGGTCAGGACCAAGAAGAAGGGAAAAAAAATCCTCCTCTCTTTACACCAAGTTGATTCTATGACAGCACAGTAAGACATTATTCAACCTCCTTAAACGATATACATGATCTAATTCTTCAAAGGTTACCACATTTCCTGGTACAGAGCCAACACATTATCTTTTAGTTACTCTGGGGAAGTACAAGACTCAAGTGAAGTGTGTACGCTTCAAGGGCCTACAGAGCAGGATGGTTTGCCTCTGCCCTCCATCACTTGCACATACAGCTCTCAACAGCGCTGGAGGGTCTCAGAAACTGCCAGGGGAACAGATGTGGCAGGGCGGCCAAAGTTACCAAAACCTCTTCCAGTGTTGCAAGACATTACGACAGCTGCAATTCAGGTTTTCCAAGAGATAGGGAGACTAACAGTGCTCCAGTCCTTTCCGTTCCGTGCCAAGGAGCACAAGTTAGCTGTTGTTCAAAATATAAAGCCAGATGTTAAAGGGAGAATCAAAACTACACCCAGCCTCCTCCTCCAGCAAGCCGCACTGCGCCTGTCCTACCGGCTCTTTGGGGACAGCTGTGAAATGTTCAAACTACCCAACAAACTTCAAAGTGCATAAATGCATGTGCTCGGCGTAAAAGACAGTTGAAACGTAAAGGCTGGAGAACACCTCTCACTCCAGGCACTGATCTGCACTGCGAGACTTCTGAACCTCTTTCCATGCAAGAGTTCTCCATTATTTTACTACCAACAGCTCCTGAATATGATGGTCTCAAACAGACGCTCCATTTTTAGCAAAAGCACAGTTCTTTAGGATTGGATTTAAAATAAAGGTGGCTCCAAACCTATGATGTTTTTGACAGCACGATTTAAGAAATACACATTTTTCAAAAATAACTATTACCATTAGTTACCAGAATTTGTACAGCAATACACACCAACCATTCAAGGAAAACACGTGGCCTCACCATAAGTAGCGAAATACTCCCATTTGAACTGATGCATTCAGTGACAATGCAGCAGTTAAACCTCCCTCTGAAGTTCAGTCCATTAGGAAGTAAACACATAATAATCGCAGTGCAATGAAGAAATTCACTCTCTCATCTCAGAGGCCATTAAAAACAAGAAACAAACCCAATCCATTTGAGAGAATAATCATACAGGAAAAAAAGAATGAGCTAAAATACGCTGCTGAAGAAATTCAGCATAGGCAGCTTTTGTTTGCATAATTGCTTTAGCACTCCTGTGAACTTTAGCATAGACATGATCAGCACAAATTGAGATCCTTGTACATATATATAGACAAGACTCATGGTGCAGAATAAATATTTACCTACGAAGCACTCTAGAAAAGGCACAAATGTATGCTACATGCGCTAGTTTCTAAACACTACTCACTCTAAAGGCACTATACTACTGCGAAGAATCATCTGCATCAAGACTATTCTTTTGCTGTAAATTCAGCAAATTTGAAAAGGATTATAGACACTGTATGCCGAATTCTTACGCTGTTAAGTATGACAAAAATAGAGAACTTATTAATAGCATTTCAAAACAGTACATCAGGGATTGTTATAACCAGTACAAATAACAAAGCAGATCATAAACTGGAAACAACGAAATGCTGAAATAAGTCATATTCCATTTTCCATTTCTGAAATGTATTCACAATTTTACATGAGAGCGATTCAGTTTGTATAAACAAATACAAGCAGACTGAAAATAAATCTGCATTAAACACAAAATAACTCCTTTTGCCCATTCCATTTGGAATTTACCATTGGGTTTTCACAGCTAGAAACTGCTCAGAGCCCCTGGGAGAACAGGGGCATTTTTTTCCCCGAAATGATCAAATAAATTACTTTTCTTCAAAATGAGCAAATCTGTTTCAAGCTGTCAATTTAAAACAGGTCTACCTTAGTCTTGCAGGGAAAAAATGAAGAGCCTAAGAGCCACAAGCTTCAATAACACATGAGAGCACGAAAGCCAGCAAGTCCATGTGTTATTGGACAGTCACGGACACTAACCTCACTTACAGAAAACAGGGTTGAAATAAATCACTGGACTTCCATACAACCAAGAGGTCATTTTTTTTCTTAGTGGTCCCATAACAGCCTCCCCATATGCTGCTTTATCCGGGTATCATATTTAGAGGTCATGTATCTTGATTCCATGAACTATCATCATTACAGAGAGTTCAGGGAAGCTTCAGAAAGCTCCACGATCGGGCACAGAACATGCCACCGCACTGCTGTAAATCAGGGCTTGACTCACGATGCCTAAGATTGCATTTATAAAATAATTTAGAATAAATGCATGGAACCTGTTTGTAATACTTACTCTGAATTTCACAGGTCCAGCTACTTTAAATGTGCCAATTTCAGCATTTCCAGGACTAGCAGACATATCTTTCCTGCACGTAACACAGTAAGCTGCAACTTGCCTCCCAACAAATTTTCCTGTATCATTTACAAAGCACATTTCCACAGCACACTCTAACGGCGTTGTAAGTGGGGTTAGCGACTGTGTAGCAACGGTATGGGCTGATCACACCATACACGAACTTACAACATATTCCCTAGCCTCAATGGCACACGTGGGTGTCCCTAAAGTCCTCTTCATGAGTTCTTTGTGAATATACAAAGACTGTGTCTGCTGCTGAGTCAGCAAGAGAAAACACACATCCGTTACACTGGAGATGAGCACAGCACCTGTGTTTACTGCTTCTACAGCAAAAGACAGCTTGGCATTTAACTAGCCTTTAAGCGCAAAGTGGAAATTTCCTAGAAACTAGGCAAATATTAAGAGATTAGCATTCTTACAAAAATAAGAAAATACAGTATTATTAAATGCTAGCTTAAACAAGCAAGGCCAGAGAACATCTCTCTCTCTCTGTGCTGGAATAAATCATGGCTTTAATGACCCCACCCACAAAAAAAAAAAAAAAAGATAAAAAAAGATATTGGCACAGATTTATACATTTAAGTTAGAATAACAAGTATCCCCAGGGGCAGGGAAGAGAGCAGGTACAAGAGGGGGTGGTTTTGTTTTGTTTGCTGTTTCTGCATGCTCACAGAACAACAAAGTAGTGATCACCCAGGCAGAGCAACGGGTAAGTGTCAAGGGAGAAGACTGCACAGTACGTCACAGAGGCAAGACGGGATGGTAAGGGAAAAACATTAACCGGTGCAATGGAAATAAGATCACATTGTAATGAAGTCAACAACTTCCACTAAAAGAGAAACCACAAAAGTCCCTCCGTGTGCCTTATGGAACTGCCTGGAGGCTGGAACTTGGGTGCTGACAGTGGTATCTGCGTCCCAGCTCCCAGACCCATCCCCTCGGCTTGACCGCAGCCCAGACTGCGAGGTAAGAGAGGAAAGGCAAGTCTGCGCGACACAGTAATTCAAAGGTGTAAGTTCTACCCCTGGATTTTGTTAGTTCTGTTAGTTAGTACTGCTCTTTAAATAAAGGTGCTGATGTTACTGCCGCTACAGCAATAAAACAAAAGAACACAAAATTAACATCAACTAGCAGAATATCGAGTCTTCTTTGTCCTCAAAATAGAATCAGAAACAGCAGAGCAGGCATAAATGAAATTGACTTATGTAAGTGGTTCCTCGTTTTTTGTACTCTTCTGGCTTTAACTTCCCTAAAGAGACAGAGTTGATTTTAAGTGTTATACTACTTTTATACTGCCTTTTTAAAGAGTTACTAGAAACAGCACTCACAAAAACCGTGTAAAAGACTTTCTCCCCCTCCTCTTCTAGTCCACGACAAGTGCTGTAAGAGTTTTACAGTATTTTCTACAATGGACATTGCTGCTGTTGGGAGTAGAAGAAAGAAGCTTTGAGGAAAATACAAAAATGTGATTAGAAAACCATAGACACTGACAAGAGTCAGCACCTAATTTTTTTATTTAGTGAGTTTTTAAACAGACTCAGATTTCATATCGGCAGTGACCACTGACCCTGGTATTGGCGCCTCTACATGAACCTTGCATCTGTTGTAAATTGTTCAGGCATGTACTTCCTTCCATGATAACAAGATTCATTGGATTTTTGGTTTAGAAGCAAAATTAAAACCAGACTGAGCATATCGTTATTAATTACATAATTCATTTTAACAGTCACCAGTCCACTTCAGTTTTGTAATTTCTCTTTCCAAATGCAACATAAGATGCTAAACCAAAACTTTATAAGGAAATTAATAAAACATACTGGCTCTCCAGACACACTCTGATATGAAAGACTTCATGGAGGAATTTTATTCCACATTCACTCACTTATGTTTCAAGAATCAATTCCAACGTACAGTTCTGCTGGTGGTGTTTTTCCCAGTAAGGTATTAGTCTCTACTGGACTTGTTCACATTAAGTAGTTCCTTTTCACACACTCCTTCCTTAAGCCAATGCAAAAAAAGGAGTATCATCCAGTTTCCTCCAAAATAAACAAATTGTTACACTGGCTTTCGTAGGAGTTAACAGCTCAGTTTATCAACAAAGCCAGGAAGGAGGGCTTGACAATTTGGCTGAATACCCTAAAATAATACTTAAAAGCCTTATGGCCACCTTTACTGCAAGGTGTCTTTGCTGCAAGGAATTTTGTCTCTGAACTAAACCAGCGGTGCAGAGAGGATATTCAGAGCAAATTAAATTATTCAGTGTCCAGAGCCAACCCCCTGTTACATTGTACTGTCCTGCTGGCTCCCTGCATGACCTTTCCAAAAGTTGCTCCACTGATGTATTTCTGCACAGATCAAATGTTCTTCTGTGTAGAGGACATTTTACCTCTTCATCCTCCTAATTTCTTTGGTAACATCACAATTCAGTATTCGTAACATTACTGCTCGTGCTCCTGAGCAAAATTCAGATGCTTTTGGATTTGGCAGGGGGATGGAAAGGAATTGAGAAAAACAAATCTTATAAAACTTAATATGGTAAAAGCAGAATTAACAGTATTATCTGGCTGTACTGAATATAAAGTGGGTCATATCAACCATATAAGCTCAAACAAATACCAACCACTTATTTTTCATCTGATAAATTAACAACATTTGAGGGTGGTTCTCAATTTATTTTTTGCCTGGCTAGAATTATTTTATTTTTGAAGGTCATACGGCATTTTCATGATCTTTTAGTCTGACCATTTGTCTAACAAATCCCCAAGGACCTATGAAATGTGAGCTTGACAAGTTTTCAAAACAGACGGAGGAAGCTGCCAGAGCTCTGCAGCCTCTCCTACTCCGTATTTCTAGATGAACCAAGTGCCCTGAATTCTCCCCTCTGGAAAAAGAGACGATGATCTGAACGCTGGCCTCCAACTCTGCAGGATGAGTCAGGCAGGAAAAGTATTTACATACAAACATCCTGGTAGCTAACAGGGGAAGGAAATGAAATAGAAAGAGAACATAGTGAAAGGTTTAAATGAAGATTTCGCAATAGCCTTCCCTTGCACGTTTTTAATGAACGCGTCAGCAGAAATTTGAGGGATTTCAGAGAAGACTAAAGGGAATTGTTCCCATTATTTCACCTTTCACACAAACCACTTGAAACCAATATGGTACGCAAAATTTATGAGACTCGCTTGGACTTCTTAGATAGTTCATACATAAAATAATGGCCTTTCTTCAGGAAATATTAAAAGCAATTAGTCATAATTGCTTATAAGGCCAAATAGTTTCCAAGTGAGAATTTGTACATTTGAAATACAAACTTGTGAAGCGTCCAGGGAACTAAAACCTAGAATTTTTAAATCAAGTTTGAAATATTCAGCACTATTTGCCATACTCTGTTCCGTGAATGGCACTATCAGGGCACTAGATCGCAAGACAAACCTTCACCTTCAGCAGTGCTTTACTCCGCAAAGTGCCTCACCTGGTACGAGGATGTCTGCCAGGTGCCCTCCTGCTGTAGCAGATGCCACCAAGACAGCCCCTACCTCCCACATCCCCCAGGTTTGCTGCTACAGAAGCAGAACTGAAAGACATCTCCACCCATAAAAGCCACTGAGAAGATGCTCTGAGCCAAACTGCAACTGAGGGAAGGAGGGGCATTTACAGAACCTTCCTCTGGACAGCTTAGAAACTTCCCGCTTCCCCAGTGAAAAGCACCAGAAACGTGATTTCTTGGTGGTTCTGAATGTCCCATTAAATGGCAATTCCCCGGCAAAGAACTGAAAACCATTCTGTACAAAACATTTTTTTAAAAACATACTGTCTGCAACCAGAGGAGACAAAATACTGTTTACAGCGCTGTTCTCAATTCTCTGTAACTAACCGCTGAATTTCCCCACTGAAATCATCTCTACTTTTATACAACTCCAGCCCTCAGCCCTAAATGTCAGCACAGTCCCTGGAGCAGAATTTGGGCTTTTTAAAGTAGTCACTTCCTTGCTGTTACGGCCTGCTCTAAAAAATGCTTTAAAATACTGAACACTTGTGTCTCCTTCCTGTAAGTTTTATAGGAGGAAATAATTTAAGGACCTTAAGCTAGGAGCCAAAGCCATGCTAGGTCAGCAACTTCTCAGCACAACTCTGCCACATGCAACCTTCCGGGAAGATAAAGTCATCTTTTTGTTTGAAAAATGGAAAACTTTATCTCAGGGACCTGTCGTTTTACTTACTGCTTATGAAGACCACCAATGAGAGCATTTAATTCAACAGAAACACTTCAACATCAGTTTACCAATATAGCCACGGCTGATGCCATGGACAGGAACAGAGTGGCTGACCTGGGAAAACTCAGGCCACGCTTCCTACTCTATTCAGCAGCAAAGGAGACAGGGACACTGCACTTCTAACGGTGGTGCTGTGTCACCGAACGTTGTCCCAGTTTCACCTAGACCCCAAGGTGAGTCCCCAAGGTCAGCCACAGAGGCTTCCAGCTTCTCTGCACTGTACAGTGCATAAACCAGCATCTAACACATGGCACTTCGGCTGAAAAACCCAAACCCTAACCCCTCAAAACATCTCATCTGTGTTTTGGAGCTCACATGCTAGACTGATAAAGCTTTTGCAGACAGAATATAATTTTAAACTGTGTGCATCAGAGCACTGGGAAGTGAAAGGCAGTTCAGAAACCAACAAAATCTGTGGACTTAATGGGAAATGCCCAGAGAAAGACGCGCTGGCCTCCAGTTTTGCACACTGATGTACGTAGGGAAGGCTGCAAAGACAAGTTAAACACGGAACTTGACTTTTTCTTCCCCCCCCCAGCTTTGCAATGTTTCTTCACATAATGTTTGTGAAACTCTTAGTTAGTCTTTCCTCCACAGTTTGCAAGAATGGGAGCTACTAGAGGCTGTTATAAATAGTTTTTCAACTTCGTATTTTTGCAAAGATATTTCATTAACATCCAAACTGCCAAGAACAAAAACCGTGGGGAAAAAACATTTAAAACTAATTAGAAAAAAGTTAAAGAGCGTGGCAGGATTTTAAATTCTTGTATGGACACTTAAAAAGCTGTTTAAGCCACATCATTTGCTTAAGGAGGTCCAAACGCAGACATGACAAACTTGTTGGGAAGCAGGATTTCTTAGGCTCTCTACAGCATTCAAGTCAAACCTTCCTGTCTTATTGAGATTTCACGCTACAGGATGCAGTTAAGGTCCTTGAGAAGTATCATCCCCAAATATTTAGAGCCAACTGTAATCAATACATCTAGGTAGCTGCAGGGAACACTAAATTCAGCGTGTCCCCACGAGTCTCCACCAACATGGCAGCACTGGTTTCAAGCACACACGGACCATATAAACAACTTTAGTACCACCTAGAATCAGTTCATCTTTCACATCTCACCTGTTGTTTTTTTTTTTTAATCTTAAGACTCAGACTTGGTAAGCACGCTAACATTGCAGCACATGAAGCACAAGCTGAGGCTGAGTGTCTGGAACAGAAGTCACACACAGAGGCATTCTTGGCCATAGGATACAGGGAAGTCCTCTTCCCACCACTACAGCAGGGTCTCAGACCTTTCCGGGGAATGCCCGAACACACACCAACTCAGGTCAGAAGAGTTACTTTCCAGAATCCCTCCTAATTTACTGTCCTCCTTCTGCCACAGATATTGAGCTGAAATCACCCCGCAGAGAGGAAAACTCTTCACGTGAATGTAGACAACATGCAGCACCAGGATCAGAGTAAACCTCTGAATGGTGCTCCTCCAAACCTACCCTGCCACAGACATACCCAGGGCTACTAAATTAATGACTGACTTCTACGTGAGTATTACTTAACGTTCAGCTCTTCCTTCCATTCTTTGGACAATCCCCCCTCCCTAAAAAAAACCCGAATGGGTAATTTCCATCAGCAACTGCGCTTTTTGTGGTTTCATTGTGGGGTTTTTGACTACAAATGGCTTTATAGGTTGGGATTCCTTGGATTTGTCTGCATGTTGTGATAAAACACAATGGATTCATTCACAAAACAAAAGTTTTTACATAACAGAACGTGCAATAAAAGCGCAAGAAAGAAAGAAAAGAGAAAGAAAGAGAGAGAGGTATCCAGAGGAGAACTTACCCCGCGCTTTAGGCTCCTGAAGCAGTGGATTTTGGGTTTGGAGGTCATGAACTCGTTGAAGCGATGGGAGAGGGGTTCCTTTTGCTGCTTGGGAGACTGGGGGCCGTTGGGAACAGCAGAGGGTGAGGCAGAGGCAGGGGGAGGAGGAGGGGGCTGATGGGGGGATGTTAAAAGGGACATAAGCTACGTATAAGAGATGGAGAAGTGACAGAATAAAAACCAAAATAAAAAGATAAAACACAAAACGAAAATAAGCATCAAAACCAATATTTGAAATCCAGAGAAAAAAAAACAATTAAATAATTAAATATTAAAGGCCATGGTTCAAAAGAGGGGGGAAAGCAGTATTTAAGAGTGTGTTAAATGAAGAATGTGACAAATGGAAGTTTTAGTAAGTGATGCAACAGAAGAGCAGCACAAAGTATTTTGACAGGAGGCTCATGCAGACTCTTCCATGCAGCGCTATCCCCGTAAATTGCCCTGTTCTGCTCTGTGGACAGCTCAGAATAATGCATATGGATAGAGCTTTCAAATACCTGAATTTAAATGGATCAGATAAGGAAGGTACCTTAGTGCCCAGTAGCGTTTCTATTATCTGGAAAACAACAAACCACATTCCTTCCTGCTTTCAGATCACACCTCAGTAATGTGCATCACACTTCACTTTTACAAATTATTCTATGAATTTGCTCAGGAGTTAGTCCTGGTTTTTTCTTTTCTGGCTACACTGATGTAAGCACCAGACAGCCGTGTTCTCTCATATACCGGCACAACAGGAATGATCCACTTTGAACAGGTAGATTTTTTTTGACTCTGTCATTAGTAGAAGTGGTTTGGTATGGGTCAGAGCAAGGGTGAGATCAAGCTGCTCTGGGCTTCCATCAGTGTTACTGAAAACCGATTTAGTCCAGTCAGCCTGACACATTCTGGTAACCCCAGATAAATGCCGCCATGCATTATGGTGTAAAATATGACAGTGAAATGAAAAAAGTTTAATGGATACATAAGTTAATATGGTCTTTTTTAAAAGTCAACTGCTCCGTTAGTTATGCTCCGTTAGTTGTGCTTAAGAAGAATGAATCGCAGCAATTCCCTGTTCCCAGCCACCCAACCGCCGAACCCAGTGGACAGACTGAAAAGATAATGCAAATGAAAAGCCAAGGAGAGTTTTAGAAGTGTCAAAACAGTAATGCCACATTAAAGCTTCCCAAAAGTAACAATGTTAGTTAGCACACACGGCACTAGGAAGCGGTATACAATTCTTTCTCTGAGTTAGGAACAGAAATGGACCATGGCAGAGACGTGACAACTAAAGTTAAATTAATATAAAAACTGCAACATAATTAAAGAAATTGTACAAGAAAAAAAAATACTCAAAGTATAAAGAAACTTAAGTAACGAAAGACTACAACAAAACACCATATTAACACATCAGTTAATAACTTTCTGAATCTAAAATTCTCTTAAAATATTTGTAATTGCCAGGATTACTAGACAAGACAAAGGTTATTGACTATACACATACTAGCACCAAGCTCAAGTTTGCAAGTCAGTACCTTATTTTTCTTGATGAATGGCCATAACTTGCCCTTGGATTTGCCACCAAACTTCGGCTCCGACTTCCCATCCCCTCTTGAGTTGGAAAGGCTGGATTCCGAGACAGTCCGCTTCATTGGCTGCGTGAAGTCCTCAAAGTCGATATCTCCTGGAGGCTCAAACCCCGATTTATAGGCTTCTATTACCAGCTGTGAATCCTGAAATGGGACAGATCCAGTACAAGTATAAACATCTCTGTTGAGGACTGTCAAATTGGTGACATAGAAAAACAGTACAAGGACACAAAATTCTACGGTGTGGGAACCAGCCTTTACAGGGACCAGTCTCATTCCCGGGAATGGACAGCCTTCCAGAGTCCGGGATCAATATAAGTCTCTCCATCTTCTGCTTCAAGATCAGCACGCACTTTTCTTGGCTCTATTTTCGCTACCATGGTGTGCTTTAAAAAAACCAAAAAACACACCTAGGCACAGCATAGTATCCCACCAAAACAAGGCACTCTGATGTGTAAAATTTAATACTCCCAGATACTAAAGTGATAAATAGCAGTGAAGAACACAACAACCACCCCACACAGAAAAAAAAACTTTCCAACCTGTGTCAGTCAGAATGTATTACAACTGGGATCATAAATGGCTACAATCCTTCTTTCCTAAGAGGTCTCAAACAATCAATCTACGGAAATAAAGCAAGTAAGCTTTAGTCTCAAATAGTCCATTATTCCCGTTATGAAACTCCAACCCATTTTGCAAAGGTATCGCTGAGACCAGTCATTACCCAAAATACCAACAGCTAAAAAGCAGAGGACTATCATCTATTTAGGAAAATAAAACCCACATAACTATCATTAAAGCATTGTAGTTAAATAAAGATGACACTTAGGAAGAGTAAACTCAGGTCTTCTCACTCCAACCTTCCGCTGAGCTGCACAACCCCCGAGTCTCACCACAACCGAGCAATGTTTTCATTCCTTCTGTTTTGTTTCCAACACAAAAATCAAAATTCTGATACAAACATCTTAAAGTTTTTTCATGTCTATGGGTAAAAATGACTAAGAGCTTATTATTGTTGACTTTACTGACTAGAAAACAAACTTACTACTGACTAGAAAAGCAATCAGACTTCAGTAACTGAACTTAAGCGACTCATAATGAAGATTTAAGGTATAGAATTGCTGGGCACGCGCTGTAAGCAAACTAGTGAAAAAATCCCAATAAATACTCCTATATAACGGAGCTCCTGAGTGATCACACTGCCACAGGTTGACAAGTTGGTGCTTGTGAACTCAGCTACAGGAGTTTATCTTACGAGCTTTACCCAACAACTGAGCAGTCCAAGCTCACGCGAGTAGCCCTCAGTGCAGGCAGTGGCTGGGAGCTCCACGCACTGTCATTAAAGCCACAGTCCCTTTCGGCAAGTCAGCCACACACTGGCTGTATACTGGGTATAATGGTTTTGCTTTTTTTTTTTTGATGGAGGGAAAAGGAAAAAAAAAATAAATCAAAGCAAGAACAATATATAGCATTTTTCCTAGTTGGGTCTACAAACACAATTAATTATACGTAGGCTCAAATTCAGACTGCAGCTTGCCAAATGCCTTTAAATCTAATGGACTCAACAAAAATTTTAACACACTTATCTACTTGACTTCTTGGGAAGAGAGCTTTTTATGTTATACTGTTCTAAAAGTTTTCTTCTAAAATCATTAGAGAAACTGTGCCACATTGCACAAATATCTTATGAGTCTCCAGAGAAGAGCATCACCATCCTGTTCAGATGAAAGAGATGAACTTGTTGCTTTGAAGGCATTTCACAGATTCTGCTTATGTCCGTAGGTAAAACGCTGTTCATGAGAAATCTAGCGGGATATGAACATATCCAGAGGCCAGGCTCAATTGAGCAAAACATAGATATAGGAAAAGCTTTGCAAAAGTCTTCATGGGATTGTGAAGAAAATTAAGGTTTAACATCCGCAAACTATCAGGTGCTCTGTGAAATTCCTACACAACTTTTAGGGAGGTAAAAGAACACCTTCCATTATCTCACCCTAGTTTGACATTACAACTTCCTGAATTCTAAACATTTGAAGATATTAATACTACTCATGAAAGCAAGATGAAGAAGGAAGACACTATAAACATACGCAAGGTTACATTAAATACTCTATTGGTATTTTATCCTATGCACGGAGCTTTTCATTTTTTCCTCTTAATTTTACAGCGTTCTTTCCATTTAGTCAGAACATCCTTCCACTACAATGGAGCTAAAAATAACCAGCACGCTCCATATATCACACAGATAATGTCATAACAGGAACTCCAAAGTCCATAACAAATTAATTTTATCTGCTGCTAGAGCCTTCTGAAGCAAGTTCTGTATAGGTTCACCTCGTAGTCACTACAGCTTAGCCTTGTAACGTGACCTCTGTGTTGTCCGAGTTGTTCGGAAGAGGACATGAAAAAGCAGCATATTTACAATTGCATTAGAAACACGGGGCTAACCAGTGTTCCCAGCTAAATCCGGACAGATTCTACGGCTATTAGAGGGAATGCTATACACTTCAGTGAGGGCACAAAGCAATTCTATTTACACAGTTTCTAATTTAGTAACTAAGCCTGAAAGACTGGCCACTTTGCAAGTGGGCATGAGGCAGAACTTTGTAATATTTAAACTGAAGAGAATATAGAAAGTAATAAATCTGTCCCATACGTCATTCTGATTCTTAACACTATCCAGAGAAATAGGGGACCTGGAAGAAAAGCGACCTTCCAGAATCCTACTAGCAGCCACAGAGGGAGGGAACACGGAGTTGGTCGTGGGAAGAAAGCCTGTCAGCAGTCTGCACCTCCACAGTTTCAGAGTCACTATATAAATACATCCTTCCTTACTATTGTACTACACAATTCTGATGCTAGAAGTAATAGTGGTTCACGGGTACCATATGAACCTCACCTTTGTAGACTAATGTTTGTAACAAACCTACCCAAAGCCAAAAATTGATTATCAAAAAGTTCCAACATACCTACATGAAGTGAAAAGTTCTGCTGCTTTTATTTTGGTTTTCCCTTTTAAACAGTAATGTCTTACCATCAGCTGATAATATTTTACTCAGAAGAAAAAGCTGAAGAACTTGCAGGTTCTTGCATCATTTCAGCTAGAATTCACACAAGTTTGGCACACAAAGTAAGCCAATAGAACTGGTGTTTCCTCTAACTATTTTTTTTGTTTGTTTCTGAACAATAATTCTTCTATATTAGTTACGGTTGTTCCATTTAAAGCTCTGGTTTCTGAACTGAAGCTACTGCACTAAGAGCAGAGATTTCATTTAACCTCCCCCCTTCTTCAGCATCTCCGTATGTGATAGCTGGGTAAAAAAAAATGAAAACAAAACCAAAGGATACCAAGAGCCAAATAAGAACTCCAAATGCAGCACTGCCTCTTGTCAGTGTCATAGTGTCTGACCTTATATATTTCAAGTTAGATGATACTGTATGTTTGTTTATGATTACCAGATCCTGGAGATCTCCTCCCAGCTGGGAAACACATGTCCCTGTGGGCCCAGAGTTTCACACAAAGCTTTTCCTGCTCAGCAGGCTCTCGGTTTTGCTCAGCATTGTACTAGCTATATTATCACCAGCTGTCCTTGCATTCAACTTTCCTGGAATCCTCATTTTCAAAGTTGACTACAGCACAGTTCTAGCTGACTTTCCTATCCAAAGTTCTTGAAGCTTGAAAAAGATGAGTGGGGAAGACAACCTTGAATTTGAATCTTCTGAGGAAAAGGAGAAACTCTCCTGATGGTAGCCTGAAAGAGCCCAGACTTGCCCCTTAGAATGTTAAGGGGGGAGATGGGAAAGGTCTGCTGTAACACTCTGCATTAGTGGCAAAAGCAGGACATTATCTTCCAGACAAAAACACAGCTTTTAAATTGCTACTGTGTGCAACTATGGCCATCTTGTAAAGTGGCAGGACCTGCATGCTACAAGAAGGGTAGGAACAAACATATCACTTTTATCGGAATCAAGAAAGTTAGAAACTACTGTTCTGGAGATGAAAAAAAAATCTTTTACTGTATTTAAGAAAAAAGAAGCCTTTATGGACATAACTTTTGCAGATAGAACACACTAAACCCTTTGTCATTGTTCAGATATAATAAATTTGGTTAAATACATTTTTGTTAGCATGGTGTTTACAGGAGATCACTTAGTTATCAATGTTCTAAGCCACCATTTTCTAATGTCGTACTTGTGCACATGAGCCATCAATTTGACTTATCTGTGTCCAAGAAAGACTAACCTGAATATAAAATTCACGCTGATTCTAACACCTAGCGTAAGCCTTGTGTGTGTTTTGCTAGGACCTCACTTGAAGATTCAAGCAGAGTGTAGGCTTAGATACGAATCTCCCGAACACGATTCCACCCTACAGCACCAAAAGCTGTACCTCAAGAATGGTACTTTGTTCTACCATGGGAATTGTGCCCCAACTGCCCCTTCTCCCACCCCGAAAGAGTAATTTTCAGATTCCTTGGTTTCCTACGCTGCTCTCTGTGAGAGCAATTGCTGAGCAGAAAGTAGTGGATTCATTTCAAAACTTCAGCCTCAGGCTTACGCTGCCAGTTAATGGCAGTCTCCAGGCTCTGGGCACTGAATAGCTCAGAAAAGATTCCAGTGAAAAAGAGGTATGGGAAATTCAAACAGCCAGCAAGACACATGCTGTTTGTATTTGAAACACTGATGTGGTCCATGAGAAGGGCTGAAAGAGCAAGTAGAGGCTTCATTTATGAAGGGAGCAGACCATTTTGAAAACAAAATAGAAAACACATTTGCCCTTGTGCTAACTGTACATCAGGAAGCTCAACCCAACTCTTTATCAGCCTTTTTATCAGGAAGGCTTCTTTCTACTCCTACAATGATATTCAGAAATCAAGATTTGCGAGAGCTCATTTACAGATTGCTAGCAAAACTCAAATCTGCAAAGAAAGGTTTTACAGTAAAGTAGACATTTTGCCAGAGTTGTTTTCAATAATTTATGTAGCAAATACTTTAAATACTTCCATTATTATAAAACTAACTGGAATGAAGACATTTCTGCAACACTCAGTTTTCTGACCGATAGACATAGAACTCATCTGAATAAGAACTGGTGATTATCAGGTATCTGGAATTATGCCAACTATCTTCCTTATTCTCTACACAGAAGCCTATTTTTCAATTACAGTATTTCAATAAGTAACTAACCTAGTAAAAGGAGAGAATATTCCTAAAAGGGAAGAAAAGATAAAGGAAAAAGTAGAGGCATTCCTGTGTGTTAAAAAGATTTGGGAAATAATCTGAGCGCATCCTGCCTCAAATGAAGTAGCTTGGGACAAGAAGCTATCCTTTGTTTTATTTCTATGACTATAAAACTCTTATGCTGCAGCCTGGACCCAGGAGTTAAGTCTCCATAAGGAATCAATACTAAAGATGACAATCAACAATCCAAACAACGCAACACTTACATTCTTGTGATCAATTGATTCTGCAGCCTTCGTTATTTCATCCAGACACTTTCCAATGATAGGGATCACTTGGCGGTCAACCTCTGCAAAAGTTTTCATGGATTCACCTATCCTCACGATTCTTCTTTCCTCCATCTCTTGTATTTTCTAAAACATTACATTTCATTCAGATCAAATATCAAGATTATCAGATCATTCAGATTACAGTTTCAATCAAGTTTTCTCCCCAGCATATGTCACCTGCTTTAAAAGTTATGGTTTAAACATATTTTTAAGAACAAATTAGGACAGCTGTTCTCACGGAGGCACCAAATGATATTGTTCCCTCAAACATCAAAATGCCAGTCTAAAAGCAATCTCTGTTACTATTACTGGGAATTTTTCAATTAACTTCTTATGTTAAAAAAGCTGATTTGTCAAAACCCCAGCTTTAGACTTTTGTAAGGATGGCTGCTAAGACTTTTAAGAGAATTTCTGCAACAATAAATTCTTTCATTTTCTGCACGTTCTGAAAGATCTTATTTTCATTCCACTGCAGAACCCAAGCAAACAAAAACCTTGATGTCCCCCCTTCTCCTTGTCCTTAGAAGGTAATTTTTGGTTTACAGGCAGTCCTACACATCATGTATTGTTCTCACCGGGGCTTCTCAACATATGCTCCCTGTTGCTCAATGGATTCAGTGCCACCATCCCCAGCATGTATTCCATGGGCCTCTCATTTACCACAGAGGGAAACTGGATGTGGTATATCGCTATTATGACACATTATAACAGGATACAGAAGGGCATGAACAGGAATGGCCTGTTTCACATTAGACTGCAGCAATATTATGAAGCATTGTCAGCTTAAAAATCCCCATTGCCTTGACTGATCCATGAGCAACATAAATTCTTTACAAAACAACTTATTTCAACACCTAAAAGGAAGCACTAGAGCTTACTGGTGCACTGGCAGTGAAAAGGATACATCTGCAGTACTTTAAGCATGCTCAACTACAAATCATAGCGCTTACCAGATCTAGCATTAGATACACATACATTGCAAAAATTTTATATCTGATGCCTGGGATAATTTATCTCAAGACATTGGTCTGAAATACCATGAAGCAAAAGAGGAGGTGTCCACTTAACTAAGAAGTTCCAGTTAGGGGTAAGAAAACGCGTATGTGCTACGCAAACGTCAGCTATTTCTCATCAGATGATAAGCATGTGACATTTTCTCCCTTAAAGAGGTTGTATTTTCCACTTCTGATGCTTATGACCCATTACAATGGAACAGTCATTTAGAACTTCTGTTCTACTACATTAATCTCTCTGCGTTCAGTCAAGCACAAACTCAGAACTTCAGTCAGTGTAAATCTGATGGCTTTTTTGTTCTTTCTCTATAGTCTTTCTTTAGGCACCCTAAGACATAATCAGCAAGCTTGCTTCAACCCTTTGACATTCATTGCTACAGAATTATTGTGGTTTAAATTTAAACATCTGTGCAGTCTGATTTGAAGACAGGTTATAAAGGGCTGTGAGGCTTTACAGATGCAATGATGCCCAGCTGACTCCTGCCCCAACAATGCAAATAATGCTCTCATTCCCCAGCTGCATGGACACAAGGGTCTAACAGAGCAAGATTGTGAGGATTCCAAAGACTATCGTAATCTGTCATGACAATTCAATGTCACCTTATCACTTGATATGTAGTCTAAGAGAAAGGGACAACTGGTCCTACCAAGCTCTCCATCTCTTGTGTTGGCAGACTGCATATAAAATTTGCTAACAGCAATGAAAGTCACCAAATAGTAAAAGACAGGGTCACAGAATTTAGGAGATGTGTAGTATGCCCCTCTGTTTGTATCAGAAGATTATGAGCTACTCTAGATCACCACCAGTGCCCTTACCTGGAAGATGTTTGGTATGTGCGTGTAGTAATGATCATGCTGCTCACTGTTGAACTTCTGTAGAGTGGAAGAATATTCGGCTTTGCTGTCTTCTGCCATTTGATGTCGCAGCTGGGCTTGCTGTCTTGCCTAAAGAAATGCCAAAAGACATTTATAGTTTATACTATGTGGAAAGAAGCCGCATTGTGTTACTCTTGATCCTACTATCCTTACCAGCAGGCAGCACAAGAACACCAGCATATGGGTCTCTGAACACTTCAGCTTTTGGTTTAGTCCTATCTTGTGAAACAGTTCATCTCCATCAAGCATAAGCCTGCAGTGTGCACACTGCTGCTGCTCTTTTCTTGTGTTACAATGCGCTATTTCCATAAACCATTTTACATTCCATGAACAACCTCTGTTGGCACTGCACCTAGAACACTGAAACGAGTTTGCCCCTCTACTAGCCCACTGAACGGGCATGCACGTTTTCTGTACGCTTGTGGACACACTTCTTGCTCTACCGTATGTCCTGTTGAACGGCACCCGCTTTGCTCAAATGAACTACTTACCTGTTGGCTAGCAGTATTTGTTGAGGAAAGGGAAGTGACAAAAAAAAAAAAAAGAAACACGACACACTTCTATCTCATTTCACATGCCTTCGCCAACATAATCATGACAAAACATCTTAACTTAAAGTCCTTTACCTACTGTTCCATGAATAGCACTGGCATGAAGTGCACAAGGAAAGGGGAGCCTGAGGAGCAGCTGAGACACGACTCCCTTCCTATTTTTACCCACACAGACTATTTGCTTTGCCACTCAGCATAGCAGAGCACTGGGCAATTAACCCGACTTCTTTCCTAGAACAATCTGTCCCTGAGTGACCCTTTTATATTTTCAGATTCCTCCCCTTGCAATTCTGCTTCCCAAGGCCTTCTGTTATCTGTTTTGCTGCCCAATATTATTCTCTTACTGCCTATCCCATCTGTTTATTTTAGTTGCCTTTTCCCTCCTTGCAGTTGGCCTTCATACAGCAACTATTCCTTCTCTCCCCTTCCTACCCAGCTCCCTGCACCTGTACACCTTCGCCCCCTGTCCTGCGTCCCCTTGTTGAAGCTCTCCCCTCTCCCACTTTGCCTTTAGCCGGCCGGAGCTCTGCTGCTCCCCCTGCTCCCACACAGCCCCACTCCACTTTGCCCATTAAAAAGAATTCAGGACAGGATTAGTCTTTTAACTGTTCCAAGCAGACAATAGTTTCCTGACAATAAATCCATGAAATACCAAATCATGGAACATTTTAGTAATCGTAACTGGAAGGTAACAAATTCTGCCAGAAGGTTTCAAATCTCAATTTACAAAGAAATAGGCTTCCCTCCCATTTGTCCAGCTCACATATCTCACCTAATAATTTATTTCACCTCAATTCATCTATTTCTTTTGCAAGCACAGTCAATTGTAGGAATTTCCTAGATCCCTTTCACATTCTTTTACAAAAATAATTCAATCTCAATGAGAAAATGCTTTGGCACTGAGTGCATAATAGGAGATGAAACAGTAGCACCAAATGGGAAAGACTATAACCAAATAAATAAATCCAATAAAAGACAGACTTTCAACTTTGCTTGCTCCCCAGGAGTTTTAACTGTCCACTAACTCCAGTACAGGATGCATATATACCTTCAGAAAAATCTACCTGCTGCAGTGAAATGCCAAGCAGCCTTATCAATCCTTTCTCTACCCAAGTGCTATATACCTTATTAAATTATGTCATCCACACACTCATATATAGCTACATTAAATATGAGTGGAAAACAATACAGCCTTGTACTACAAACACAAATTTCCCAGCAAAACAAAGTCAGGCATGGAAAGGCGGACAGCTGTAAGAGTAATGTGCGCTTGTCTCCCAACCCCTTCCTCAACTCCCAGCTGCTACAGATCAACATCCATTTGTGAGGCCCATTCTCTTCATCTACCCAAGAGCAACCCATTGTTCGAGCTGACTTCTACAACAGCTCCAGTCCCACTCATACAGCTGTCTCTTCTTTTTTTTTTATTCTGGTTTTTTTTTTTTTTTTTTAAATAGCACAACTCAGGAATTTGTCCCTTGACTCTATTGTTGAAGCAGAAAAACAATAAATCCATTATTACCCATTTCCAGGCAGATCCGGCAAACATTAAGCCATCAGAGTTCATTTTCATGAGCAAGGTCATTGGCTGGATGCGAGCAAAGTAACTCTGAGCTAGATGTATACAGGAGTAGACACTCCATTTCCAAAATGATCTTAACTGGCCCCAAATAAGAGGAGGCAGCAGATGAGTAAGTAAAATTGGGTACATTCCAAACCCAAGAATTTTTGTATGAGCGCCCCAGTGATGTTTTGTTTCTCCTGGCCATTTAATGCATTTGGCAAGCTTCAAACAGTTTAAATATTTTTCCAATGAGGTATTTGGATCTTAAAATAAAATTATAAAAAGAAGTTTAGAATTTTTTTATTACTTCATTTTAGTATGTCATTTACTCTAACATCACTGCAGATAACAGAATTGTATTTTATAGCCAGGTTCCTGCACTCTGCTGAAGCACAGAATGATAAAAATGAGTTGATGACGTTAAGTTTTACATTCAGAGTAACGGTTGCAGCGGCCTGGAGCCATACAGAGTCACAGGAGTATTTCAGGAGTAATTTATAGTTGAGCTTTACAGAAAATAATTTTTTTACTTCTTTACTGCTCACTTGAGCATGCAAACAGCTTCAGAGAAGGGTTGTTGGGGGCCTTCTTAGAGTTAATGTTAAAATATCCGCTCTGAACAGTATTTTCAGGAGGAAAGGCTTTGCAATAATTGGTCTTTGGAAGACCAGACCATGACTTCAAATATAAGAGGATGATAGTGGGATGCAGCTTTCAGTCAACACACACTTTCCTTTAACCGGGCAGGGATGAGTGAGCAAGAGCTCATGTTTCCAGCACCACACGTGACACCCCGATGCAGATCTACAGACTGCCACATTACTCAGTTGTAAGAGGCATCGAGGCTAGCTACTCGTAATGCAAGAAAAAATTCTCTCCCCTCTTGAAAGGAAGAAAGAATGAGGTCACCTTTCAGCATCATGAAAACGCAGAAAAGGGTATATACAGTTTGCTTTCAAATGTGTGCTTCTGCACGCATTTGCAAAAGACAGATTTTGCACGCTTCCTCCCAGAACATACCTTTGCAACATCTTTTTGTCCTCAAAAAAGCATGCACACTGTGTATACGTATCGCCTCTTCTCCAAAGTCTGTTTTTGTTAAGGCAGTTCCTCTCTGATCTCACGCGGCAGCAACAAAACCAGAAGGTCACATATGCCAATGCACATTTCATCAAGAAAAGCACACCCAAGAATGAACGGCAGCCCACTATCTGCCACACCATTAACCTTGCAACGAGCATAGAGGTAAACTTCAGGTTTCCAGCGCATGGCAAGCAGATTTAAACAAATCACACTAGAGGAGAGTTTTCTATAACTAACTCTGAAAGAGAACTCTAGGTGAAGAAAGTGTGGCTCTGATATACTAAGCTACTTAAAAGCACACTAGCAGCAGGTAAGGCGTATTATGTATGACCTCTTCTCTCGCAGAACCTACAAAGAATTGTCATTAAACATAATGAAAACCAATTTTTTCCTTTCTTTAGACAGCCTTGCTAGTTGATGGGGGAGAACGCAGGGCAGTAGCTAACTGCAAGGCAGCAGTAACTTTCAAAGTGTTGATTTTTAAAAATTGGTAGAACTGTGGTCATCTTCAGCACTTTAAAAAAAAAAAAAATTAAAGTATTCACACTTTACCTTATGTGAAAAACAACAATAAACTCAATAGCCAGATGAACTGGCAACACACACTGTGGCTTCTATCTCTTCTACAAGGTAGCAGGAAAACAACATTGTTATCTCAAGATTATTTTAACCACATTTCCTGCAGATTTTCTACTTAACCACTGAGTTGCAAAAAACAGACTTTCAAGCAGCATCAGAAGTTAGTTCCAGACTTTTAAATTACTCCACCAGGAATCCAGAGATGGCAGGCTTGAGCTAAGTGATGGATACCAGGGTGGGACGTTGGTGCTCCGAAATCTTTCACAAATGAAGTACTTACGGAAGTATTTCTTTCCCCTTTAAAATCAGAAATTGGAAGAAAGTTAACCCTGCAATGCTTTTACTCTGAAGTGACCTGTGCTAAGGAGATATATTTAATCTGATCTTACTCTTCACCACCTTGAAAAACGCTGCAGTTTAGCAATATGATGCAACTAAAGTAATCACTGCATGCCAGAATGAGACAACAGAATTACGGACAGGGAAAGTTCTCCATAGTTCTTGCAAGCATGTAGAACTAGTAAAGCTTTATATACTGATCTGAAATCAATCCTAGCACTTTATGCCTTTGGCCAGCAATCAGAAAAGGAAACTTTAATAGAGAAAAGGGATATGGACATCTTTATGATGGGCACGGTTGATCCTGAAGGTGCGAGAAAATGTTATAAAGCTGCTATGCATTACATGCTGCTTCTTAGAGAATTCAGAAAATAAATCTATGTATAGCATTACTTGCATACACTTTATCCCCCCAAAATCCGGTTTGATATGAAAGGCAACTGATGATTAAATGTAAGAGAAATTAAAAAAAAAAAAAAGTACACTTTTTGCCATTTTGGTGTCCAATGCAGAAAAGAATGAAGGATATTTTGCTGAGAACAATTTTCTGAGACACATTCCAGAAACAGCAAGAGGGTCAATAGACACACTGTCTTCTGGGTTTACACAGACAAAAAATGCAGCTCCTCAAGGCTGTTATGGTGGGAGTGATATGAATAACTGAAAAGGGCAGAAAAAAGCTTTGGCAGCTATTCAGCTGATCCACACTAAGTGGAACAGTTCAACTTCTCAGCAGTCACTCTTGTCCAGAATGGCAGAGTTTCCAGTCAAAACTTTGGTGTAGTTTTCTTTATTTTTTCTTTTTTTCCCATTCCCCCCCGCCTTTTTTTTTTTTTTTTTAAAACCCAGACAGCATGTGAGATGCATCACTGCCAGGCCACTGCCTGCCAAAATAGATCTGTCTTTGGTAAATCCAAGATCAGACTAAAATGCAAACAAAAAAAAAAAAAAAA